TGTGGTTATGTTATGTTATTTAATAATAAAAGAACTTCTCTAACATCACTAATTATATTTTTCAGTCATGGAGCCGCAGCTGAAATCCCAATTAAATCAGAAACCCTAGCGAGAGCCGGTACATCACTCGAAGACCAGGCACAGCAGTTCATCATGGACAAACTGTGGCACTTCGTCAGCTCGCGGTCTTTGAGGTACAGGCTGCTGAATGATGCAGACCTGGTGATCTCTGGCAAACAGGAGAAGGACGGAAGCCTTGGTGTTGGTAAGTTTTATTTTATTATGTTTAACTAAGTATATGCTTAATATAATAATTATAATAGGTAATAACCTAATATAACGCACATTACGGCTCTTAATGCCACTGTACAATGTAACACCCACTTTTTACTACTTATGTTACGAGTCCCATGTAATAGGGGGTGAGCCTATTGCCATATACTGGGCACAATTTCAAACTTCATGCTACTACTGAGATTTTTTTTAAACCTATTAATATTTTGCCCGACCCGGTAATTGAACCTGAAACCCCATGCCCGGCAATTGCACTCGCGATCACTCGGGTAAAACTGGTAAAAACTGTAAGCGATGAAATGTGATATTTGAAAATAAATAAATTGTCCCCTATGTACAATTTTGACTGATGATTCATAATTTATTTTTGAGTCTTGGTATGATGTGGAAAACATTTGTTATAGTTTATATATGCCTCTAGACTCCATGCACACTCATACACACTCATCTCATACACAAACGGAATCCATCACAAATCGATGCCAAAAAAATGGGCAAATCCAATATCAGCTCAGGCCGATACTTACATACATACCAATAGCCTAAAAGGTACCTTTCAGGTGTACTGAATTGTGTAATTGATTCGAGCTCAGTCGACCGCCATACTGGGAAGTAATTAGAAGGGCCGATGCGTGGCTGTAATAGGATCTGCGTGAACGCTCGCCCGGACTTGCAGACCAATTTTGTACTTCGGACTGTAATGGCCAATTGGGATTTATTTGATGGAGCTCAAATATAATATATCATTTATATGTTTAGCTACATATTTTGGTAAAGGTCAGGAATCCAGTTGTAACTCTGTGTTATGACTATCCTTCTACGATGGTAATGTGAGCATACATTATATTTCAAACTTTGAAATTCACCTACCGATTTAAAATGAAATGCGTTGTGGGGACTACCTCGTTGGTCAAAGTATCGCAAATGCGGCAAGGGGGTTCGATTCCTGGACTGGACAAAATATTGCTAGGGTTTTTAATAAATTCTCAATAGTAGCACGGAGTCTGGAATTGTGCCCGGGAAATGGCAACAAACCACTTAACCAATTGTGATAGTTAATAAAAATATAATTCTCTTCATTTCCAGGTGTATCAATGAAACCACCAAAGGTCTTCGAAAGTGGAAGAGGCCGTCAGAAGCCGTTCGGGCCTGTGTTGGCCTTGGCTGCTCTTAAATTCGGATTATTCGGTGCCCTGACCTTCAAGGTCTTGGCCCTCATGGTCGGAAAGGCCCTACTGATCTCAAAGATTGCCCTTTTACTATCAACCATCATCGGATTGAAGAAGCTATTCTCTTCTCAGGTGACCGACTGATCATATTGCATGTTGCATGTTTGATTAAATTGTTTGAACCGTGCATGTTTGTTTTTCTTGACTTTCACGACTTTTTTGACTGCTTTGATTACTCTGACTACTTCTATTTTTATCACTGCACTGATTTTTTTTTGGCTTAGGTTTGGTTTTGGTAGTATCACTAAAAAAATAATATTTTATGAGTACTTTTGCATAGCTGCGTGCATGTGTAAATTCTGCATGTCTGAGCATTTTATTTAAACTTTAAAACACAATTAGAGTAAATTGCTACAGTCATATTAGCGGCAGGATTAGCACGGAAAACGAAAACATTTCTAACAGAGTTTAAAAATAGAACAGATCAAAACCTAATGGTTTAACCTAAGTGTCGCGGTGGCCCGGAGGTTTAAGACGCCCACTTCTCATGCATGAGGGTGCGGGTTCGAAACCTACCAACGGCAAGTACCAATGTGACTTTTTCCGAGTTATATGTACTTTCTAAGATTATTAGACACCACTAACAAACGGTGAAGGAAAAACATCGTGAGGAAACCTGAACTTATAATTTCTAATTATAAGTTTGAAATCGCCAACCCGCATTGCGTAAGCGTGGTGATTAATGCTCTAACCTTCTCCGTGTGAGAAGAGGCTTTGCTCAGCAGTGGGCATTTATAGGCTGTTGATGATGATGATGATGAACCTAATTATAAACCTAACTTGAATACATTAACTCTACACCAGAATCATTGCAAAGTTTTGAAACTATACACGTATGTAAAAATAGCCCCGTCTTATTGAAATGTAAACTTCTCGTCGAAGGAAATATTTTCAATAGAAATGTAAAAGCTTTGCCTCTCTTATCCTGCTGAGATTCAAGGAAAGGTATTCAATACATCCGCCATTGTTACGCCTTCAGATATTCCATAAATTCAATCATACTTTTATTGTTCTGCTCTTCGAATACGTTCTACGAAATAAAATTTGTCAGGATTTATAGTGATGTGTGATATAGCTATGAAATGACAATACAGACAAGTTTGATTATGAATAACATAACTAACTATACGAAAACATATTAGACAGGTAAAAAAGGGTTAAATATGATGCAAACTTAACTGATAATATTTATATTATAACTTTCGTGAGACATACTGAATTCATTATTATGTATTTCGACTTAGTGCCGATTTTTCAACGTCAGTTAATTCTTAACTGTTTAATAAAAATATCGGTTGACAGTTTTTAGTATGGAGGAGGAGGACTGCATCGTTGGCCGAGTGGTCGCAAGTGCGACTGCCGGGCAAGTGGTTTCGGGTTCGATTCCCGGGTCGGGCAAAGAATGACTGGGATTTTTTTATTGTCACTAGTAGCACGAAGACTGGAATTGTGCCCGGTATATGGCAATAGGCTCACCCCCTATTACATGAGATTCATAACATAAATAGTGAAAAGTGGGTGTTAGGTACATTGTAGAGTGGCATAATGTGCTCTGCCTACCCCTTCGGGGATAAAAGGCGTGATGTTATGTTATGTAGTATGGAGGAATTGTCAAATATTCAGTTTTTTGTCAGTTAAAATTTATCTGGCGTTGGGAAAATCGGCTCTTATTTACGTAATTATTTGACGAAGATCTCAACTAGTTTTAAGCCACGCTACCTACTCATGCCATGCTGATCATGAATATGAGTCTCTAGAATGGCTTGAAACTATTTCCGTGCCTTTTCAAATAATTCGTGATATATCCGAAAAACATCAAAATTTATTAGCCGATAATGGTCCGATATATAGAAAATAATATTTAAATAATAATATTAAGCTTACGACAGTATTCTAATGATATCGGTGTATTATAAAATTAACATGTTTTTATAATAACTATCGTGAGACATACCAAATTAACTAAAAATCGCGGGTTACTTACTTGAATATACTGAGAAAAGCTCTACGCCAGTAGGCTGCGCGACATCGCCGCGACCGCGCACGCTACTCACGAGGAAGAAACCCTCTGTGGTTCGAAACTAGTAGAGCTTTTCTCAGTATATTCACGTGAGTAACCCGAAATATTTAATTAAAAAAAGTAAAAAAGTAAAGAGCGTTACAAATAACATAAACCCATTAAAACTTCACACAGAGGACAAACAATTAAAATTCCATTAAAAATGAAATTATTTTCCACGTGTTACCTACACAGAGCCACAACGTACGCGCTGTTAATGTGGCCATTTAAAAAAATCATATATAAAGGAAACAAACTTGATGTGTTTTTAAATATTTAAATATAAAGCAGATTATCCTAGGCCTGGTTAATGGTTTTAAACGGCAATCAGGAAGCGGGGGAAATAATTACGGAAAAAATTATAATGTTGTCGGGTTTTTACATTTAATTTTTGAAGCACTTTTTAAGGATTTGAGAAGATTAACTTCTAATCTGTTTATTCTTGCCAATTAGGAAAAATATCCTTTATGTTTATTTTTGATATAACCAGGTGAAATTGTACTCAATTATCTGCCGAAAGGTAACAGAAATTTTGCGTTAGATGATTTGTAAATTATCCTTTTTGGGGCTTAATTCTACATTACTATTTAAAAAAATAATAAAGCAAGCATTAGCGCGATTTATCAAACTACTTTTATACATTTGTATTTATACAATTTTAATTTTTATATAACCATAGCATGAAAGTCAAAGTCAAAAGTCAAACCATTTATTTCAACAAATCCTTAATTAGACACTTTTGAAACGTCAAGAATTTAATAATTGTTCGTCTGACTGTCATTCCAAAATGTCTAATCTTAATAAAAACTGTCAATATACTTTAGGAAAAACAAAAGAGTTCACATACTCATATTTTATATTATAATCAGAACACAAAATTAATTTAAAACATTTTCCCTGCAAAGCTAAGGTATTTCACCTCGTAAATAGAAAGCAGCAAATTTTAATTCATAAAGGACCTGACTGCACCATATTAAAATAAGAATACTCTAAGTGCGAGTCGGACTTTGCACGAAGGGTTCCATATATTACTTCACTAGCTTAACCGCGGCTTCGCTCGCGTCACAAATGGATAAAAAGTAGCCTATGTGACATATACACACAGCGCCATCTATACCAATGATTTCGTTTTTCCTCGAGAATATTACATTTTTCCGGGATAAAAAAGTACCTACCCTATTATTTAATCCAGACTTCTAACTTTACGTTTGCAAAAATTCAAAGCAATCGGTTTAGTAGTTACAGCATGAAAGGGGAACAACCAAACAAACTCACTTTCCAATTTATAATATGATGATGATGATAAGGATGATGATGATGATAATGATCACGTTTCATGTGTGGAAGTTCTCCCATATATATTTATTTAATTCCGTCTTAAGGCAGATTTTTCCAATGCCAGATAAATTTTAAATTATATATAACTTTGAATATTTGACAATTCTTCTTCTTCCGTACTAAAAACTGTCCACTGTCAATTTTATTTTACAGTAATATGTATTAACTGTTGATTGAAAAATCGGCCCTTAATATATTTTGTTGTGATAGCGACAGCATCATCTGTCCAGGTTATGATTGTCTACCTTATATGGTTTATAAGATACAGCCTGTTGACAGACAGACAGATGCACAGAGGAGTCTTAGTAATAGGGTTTCCATTTTTATTAAACGGTTTCATAATAGCTTGCCCTATTTGTTTGTTTGTTAGGGACAAAATTAATTGGGATGCTACCCCCTTCCTGATGACAGAACAAATTAGGTACAAACTCTTAGCAATAGTCTTGATGGCCATGCAATATCTTATTACTATCTAATTTTGATAACTGTGGATAACTAACGAAAGGGCTTGATTGGTCCAACAGTGCCAATTAAAACCGTTTAAAATGTAATATATTTTTATGTATTACTTTACCGAACCCTAAAACGGCATTCAACATTCATTTTGAACTCCAGACGTGACTTAGCACTTAGCAGGACTTAGTTTATGAATGCAGCATTTTATAAGAATATTGAAAATCCGCTTTGTCTTATGGAAGAAAAGAAATTACTAAGTAGTCTGCAGTTTAAAACTGACAATGGTTTTGTTTAGTTTTTATATAGAGGTATTATGTGATGTAAAGTTTATGAAGAAGGTACAATAAAGCCAAGGTTACACTAAGGGACAAATGTCCCGAGAAGCAAACGAAAGAAGAATACGGCGACAACGTGCAACAGCACGGGGTCTGTAATTGTGCCGTGTATATGGCAATAGGCTCACCTCCTATTACATGGGACTCATAACATAAATAGTGAAAAGTGGGTGTTACATTGTACAGTGGCATAATATGCACCTCTGCCTATCCCTTCGGGGATAAAAGGCGTGATGTTATCATATGTTAGAATTAAACATTAAATATTTTCGATTTAATCTTACAAAGATGTAATAAATACTTTACAAAAAGGTACCAGATTTCTATCGTTATAAATCTTTTCCAGAAACGCATTAGGTCAACCTTTTTTGAAGTTTTATTAGCCTTTATAAAATGACCTTTGGGCTAAACGGCCTCCAAAATTCATTTTAATAATATTTTAGTTCAAACGAAAATTATTAGGGTACGCATAAATTTTAAACGTAGAACAAGAAAATGCTTTCGTGAGCTTAGGTCCTTTGGTAAAGTCAAATTTCTCCTTTACCTGACTCATTCCAGCATATCAAGCTACCCAAAATTGTAATTGCAACTTTGTTTATCAGAGATTAAAGTAGTAATTACTTTGAATAACACTGTACAGTTTAAATAAATTTGTTTAATTAATATTAGGTTTTTATATTATTGTTATTTTGCACGATAAAAGATATAGTAGTTCAAGGTCGAAATAACATGGAATATGGTAAGTAGGTACTAGGTTCTTTCTTCCTATGGTTTTAATTAATCAGTCCAATTTAAACTACACTTACCTATTATATAAATAATTATTATACTTACCTATTATTATATATACCTATATATATAAAAATTAAACCGTTTCCCGTTGTCACGCCATAACTTGAGAACGGGTAGACCCTTTAACATCAGGAGAAGGTTTTTATGACAGAAAAAGTCCTGAAAATCCTACGGGGACGGGACAAACGGGATTGCGCGCACGAAGTCGCGGGCAGAACCTAGTAGTTTATTGTTTGTTATAAGCTAAGTACTTAATATTTTTAGTGATAGGTACCTAATAAAATATATTATACCAACCCGTTTTTCAACGAGATTTCGATCAGCACTGAGTTATAACTAGATCTGTCTAAAAACAGGAGTAAACGAAAATGTCAAAATTATATTATTTTCACATATCTTATAAAATTCTCAACACTACTTCGTAACCACATTAAACACTAAAAATAACTGACGTCATCCCCCTTTTTAGAAGTCGGTTAATAATTAATATACGAGAATTTTATCCTAAGTGTAAAAAATACATTTCTGAAAGGGATCAAAATCTGTTTAGCTAATCCAGGAATAATCGCGCACGGTCATACAAAGAGATCACACTACAAACCTTCTTTTTGAGTCAGTTAATTACTCAATAATGTACCTTAATACGTACCAAATAAAAGCTTCAGTTTCTATGAAAACAAGCTAGGAAGGTTAATTATCTTGAGAAAGGTGCTGGAAACTGCTTTTATATCTAATACAAAGTATTTTCTCAAGGATCACTCGAACGTACGCCATTATATTCTTTGTATTCTGTTATAGTCTTGAAGCAACCCATCCATCTTGCAACACGCTGAACAAAAAGCTAACGAAGTATTTAAAAAAAAATAAGTCTACATAAATTATTTTGTTAACGTTTGAGCTGCTAAATTCTCTATATCAGAGGGATATGTTTAGATATTTTGAAAATGACAATCCTATCCTAGCTAACAAATAAAAAAATATTTGAAATCGGTACAGGCGTAAACATAAAGTAAAATAAAATACGGTCGAATTGATAACCTCCTCCGTTTTTTGAAGTCGGTTGAAAAGTAGGTAATGCCGTGAAAAGGGATAATCATAATTATATTTAGGGATTGTAAGTTGTAACACAAAGCCTCGAATTATGTAAATTGTTTGGTATTCGCTATCAACTTGGGTAACAGTTTGCATTCTCTAACCTATCTGCTAAAGAGTAGAATTCTTTGCCAGAGTCTGTATTTCCTGAAGGGTATAATCTGGGTGTCTTTAAGGCCCGAGTGAATGGGTTGCTTATGGGACGACGTACTCGATCTGTCTGTCCCTATGTATGCTTAGATCTTTAAAACTACGCAACGGATTTTGATGCGGTTTTTTTTAATAGATAGAATGATTCTTAAGAAAGGGTTATATGTATAATACATGCATATTGCGCTCATGCGAAGGCGGGGCGGGTCGCCAGTTAAATATAAAAAAAATGTCCTCTTATACAGGCGGTTCCGAAAACCGCCGACAGATGATGTTACAAAACAAGTTTTATTTTGATAAACGTAAGGTATTAAATGTTTCATAATGTAACTATAGTTGTATTCAATTCAAGGCTGATGTTGCATGAATAATACGAAAACAATCTATATATATATAAAAGAAAGTCGTGTTAGTTACACTATTTATAACTTAAGAACGGCTAAATAGATTTGGATGAAAATTGCTGGGGAGGTAGCTTAGAACCAGGAGACGAACATAGGATACTTTTTATATATTTTATTTTTATCTAATATCACGAACGGGAACGGAAAAAACGAGATTGCGCGTATGAAGTCGCGGGCAGAAGCTAGGAACGAATAAAATTGTAACAACAATTTCTTTTTGTCTGTGTTTCAGGAGCGTTACGTTTACACCCTATATAAATGATTCCCATAGTCCAGTGGACTGATAGGAGACGAGTGCAAATTAACAAAAATTTGAAATAGTGTAACATCATAACAATATCACACCTTTTATCCCCGAATGGGTAGACATTATGCTACTGTACAATATAAAACCCACTTTTCACTATTAATGTTATGAGTCCCATATGATATGAGGTAAGCCTATTGCCATATACCGGACACAATTCCAAACTCCGTGCTACTACTGAGAATATTTAAAAACCCAGTATCGGGAATCGAACCTGAGACCCCTTACCCGACAGTGCGACCACTCGGCTAACGAGGCAGGCTAAGGGAGAAAAAGTGTTAATTCTATGACAACATGTTTATTCACCCCATCAAAAAATAGTTAGCATATTGACATTCTGATAGTCACAGAATATCAATAAAATTTGTGTATTCCTACACTCGCAATTCATAGTCGTGGTGGCCCGGAGGTTTAAGACGCCCGCTTCTCATGCATGAGGGTGCGGGTCCGAAACCTACCAACGGCAAGTACCAATGTGACTTTTTCCGAGTTATATGTACTTTCTAAGATTATTTACACACCACTGACAAACGGTGAAGGAAAAACATCGTGAGGAAACCTGGACTTATAATTTCTAATTATAAGTTTGAAATCGCCAACCCGCATTGAGCAAGCGTGGTGATTAATGCTCAAACCTTCTCCGTGCGAGAAGAGGTTTTGTTCAGCAGTGGGCATTTATAGGCTGTTGATGATAATGTAACATGAAAATGAAATCTCTAAACATTAAAACAAAATAAGCTTTAAGTTGTAATAAAACAAGGTATAAAATTGCAAATTGCATGCATTCTTTTACAGTTCTTTTTAATTATTCCAAGAGTTTTTCACTTCACAAACACATGTGCCATTGAAATGGATTGCTTTAATTGCTTACTACAGCGTAGCTTTATTTAGTAAATAACTTTAGGAATATTATTATATTTTTAATATGCAAGCTTTCATCTTCTTGTGATTTTAATATAGTTGTAGTATTTAATAAACGGACTCTAGTTCTGCAGAAGAGCACTTTCTTTTTTATTGCACAAATAGATTTGTTCATTATAATGAAGTAATATTAGCATTTATTTTTAAACTTTAACTTAAATACCGAGTAATTTAGTTTCAAGTGTAATTTCAAATAAGATTTCAATTAGTACCTAATAACTGAATGCAATATGATTCCTTTGTTCAAATTTAGAAATCCAGTACTTAAATGTGATCTTTTTTTTTTATTTTATTTCGCATTTTAATTTACATTAGAAACTAAAATAGTCGGTATTTTATTTTATTTGTCTTCTATTTTATTTTGTATTTTATAATAACAAAACCAAATTGCTTTTGTAAATAATTTCTAAACTAATAATATCAATGTACCATTTCTTTTCTTTTCAGTCAATCGATTCAAGACAATCGTTTGGAACTGAGTAAAAAATTCTTTTAATGAAAGTACATTAACTTAAATTAAAAGAAATTAAAGTACGAATACTTTTCAGGCTATTGTCAAAAAGGACTAAGTCAATTGGATGACTGATACTGAATGGAGTTAACGGCGATACTTACCTCAACAAAATAACCCATAAAATGAACCTTATTACACAATCTTGCTAGGACTGAACAAAAAAAGATGAAAAATATGGAGTGATTTTTTTATGACACAAACTCAAAATTTGGGAGACTGTACCAAACAGATATAATTATGTTATGTACCAGTGCAGTAGAGAGAAAAGCTCCTTTTCAAAGTCTTTTGTAAACCAAGTTTACGTGCTGATAATATTTGGTACATAAACGACAATGTACCAAAAAGTAAGGGAATGACAATAACCCACCAAAAGCAAAGAAAAGCATAAGCAAAGTGTAATAGGTTTCGTTTATGTAAAAGTTGACAAAAGGTACCAAAGAAATATAATAATATATACAAGTAATAAATGACTTATTAAAAAATAATAAAAAAAAGATTAAGCAAAATGAGTCAGAAACTACACATTAAATAAAATGCAGCTAATGTTTTGTCAACTTTTATTTTTATATTATTTATTTTTATATTATTTATTATTATTATTTTTTCAAAATAATAATTTATTATTAAGTGTACACGTATTATTAATGTAAATAACACTATTTATTTATTTATTATCATGTTAACTTTAGTCGTACTCACTAACTTGTACAATGATGCTAATTTCGCATTTAAATAATAATTACTAAGCATTTGCCTTAATTATTAATATAATAATTTATTAAAAAATTGCATTAATTGTACTAATTATTTATTGTGGAATAAACGAATTGAATACTAACATGGTTTAACATTATTTAATCCTGCCGACGACAATAAACAGGTGGTACCTTTTATTTTATTCTTGCGGATAATTAAACTATTCATATAAACTCTAAAACCTACTACTTTAAAATCAGTGGATAACAAACTGATCAATTGTTGTAATCAATGGTCAATCAATGATCAATAGTAAGATAACTAGATGTTATCTTACAATTGATCAGTTTGTTGTCTTGGGTTCAATTCCTAGCGCAAGAAATTTATTATTGGATTTTCCAGAACTAATATTTCAACTGTACTTGATTAATGAGCTTACCTTATTTATAACCAGGACCAAACTGACAACTTTGTCACATCTTTTAAAAGATTTAGTGTTGTTAGAAAGTAAATGACTGCCTCGTTGTCCAAGTGGTCGCAAGTGCGGCTGCTGAGCAAGGCGTCTCGGGTCCGATTCCCGTGTCGGGCAAAGACTAACTGAATTTTTAGAAAAATCTCAGTAATAGCACGGTGTTTAGAAATGTGTCCGGTATATGGCAATAGGCTCACCCCCTATTACATAAGACTCAACATAAATAGTGGGTGCCACATTGTACAGTGGCATTAATTAAGGGTCGTAATGTGCACCACTACCCACCACTTCGGGGATAAAAGGTGTGATGTTATGTCATGTATAATGCCAACATGTAATTTGTCGAAACTAACAACTTTTTCTCTTGTTTCAAAGATGTTGTGTTATTTATTAGAAAGAAAATGTTAATTTTGGGATAATACATAGTCATTGTTTATATAGTTGTCTAGGTAGTCATAGTACCACAATTTCATATTTATTGTGGGGTGTGGGTATAAGTTTCAAGAAATCAAACTCAAACTAGAACTCAAAAGCATTTGTTTCAATTAAACCATATTTGGTAAGTACTTTTGAAACGTCAACAAATATACAATATATCAGTCTGTCTGTCAGTCTGTTCGTCAGTGAAGCTAGGCGCTCTTTCCAGAAAGTAGGTTTGAGTGGAGAAGAACGAGCAAGAAACTCCATTCGTTGAACTCATTCAATTCATTCTTTACCATCAGGTGATCCGTCTGTTCGTTTGCCTCCTATTCCATTGAAAAAAACTCCAAGTTTCCTTTAATACACACACATAACATCACGCCTTTTATCCCGAAGGGGTAGGCAGAGATGCACATTATGCCACTGTACAATGTAACACCCATTTTTCACTATTTATGTTACGAGTCCCATGTAATAGGGTGTGAGCCTATTGCCATATACCGGGCACAATTCCAGACTCCGTGCTACTAAGGAGATTTTTTTAAAAACCCAGTAATACTTTGCTCGACCCGGGAATCGAACTCAAGACCCCTTGGTCGGCAGTCGCACTTGCGACCATTCGGCCAACGAGGCAGTCAGTTTCCTTTAATATAGGTACTTATACACTGTATCCAAGGGTCTTGTGTGTCAAGTCTACTAGTTCCTTACGTGCCTTGCAGTCAACAAGTTAAGTAAAATCAAGAATCAATATTATTATTCAAAGGTTTCTGTTTTGAGGGAGGAAAATCATCCAATGACTTCTCCCGCCTTGGGTTAGGCAAGAGGGAGTGTCAGACTCTTACTGACTAAAAACCATCCCGTTCCTACTCTTGCTCTTCAAGCTGGAGCCCCGGCAAAAGCCTTTCGCGGCTATTATTCGAAGGCTGAATCTAAAAAAATCTAATTAAATAGCTAGACGTCTGTCTCCAGCTAAGAACTAGGTTCTAAAGCATAGGTACTAAAACGTAAGTATCCTAAGCTCGTAAGGATAAATACAATTAGTATTTACAGCAGTAACCTTCGGTAATAAGGTCGCTTTTGCTTTTGTGTCCTTCACAAAAACGTGATCCTTTACTTTCTAGGACATTGAGATAAATAGTATTATTACCTCGACCCCGATTTACCTTTAAGTAGAAAGAATTATGTTGACTAGTTAATACCCGCGACTTCGTCTGCGGAGCATATGAGTTTTAGTACATAACTTGTTTTGTTTCATTTTTTTAAATAAAAATAGCGTATATTAGCTATCTTACTTAGTACATAAACTTAATCCTCCTTAGTACATAAGCTATTTGCGAGTAATATTCCCGTCGAAATCGGTCATATAGCCATATCAGAGATTAGCCAGTACAAACAGACGAACAGACAAAAATTGAAAAAAAATGTTATTGTAGTTTAGTTATCATAATATTACGTATATGTATAAAGCGACACTTATTTCATTTTTCTGTATAGATGTATAGATTTACTTACAACACAATTTCATCTCGAAAAGGTAATTATGTGTATTTTATTGCATCATAATAAGTCACAATTAAATTGCTGAATAAAAGGATTCTGGTTCGATTCCATATATTCACATAAAGTAGTTAGTTTTGTACATTTAAGTGATGCTCGAAAATGCTCCTAGTAGGCCAACCCAGGCTAGGAATTAGTCCCAGTATATGGCAATAGGTCGTGGTGGCACGTAGGTTAAGACGCCCGCTTCTCCCGTATGAGGGTGCGGGTTCGGAATCTACCAACGGCAAGTACCAATGTGACTTTTTCCGAGTTATATGTACTTTCTAAGATTATTTAGACACTACTGACAAACGGTAAAGGAACACATCGAGAGGAAACCTGGGCTTATAATTTCTAATTATAAGGTTCAAATCGCCAACCCGCATTGAGCAAGCGTAGTGATTAATGCTCAAACATTCTTCGTGTTAGAAGAAGCCTTTGGTCAGCAGTGGCTACTTATAGGCCGTTGATGATGATGATATGGGAATAGGCTTAAACGTCATTACATAGGACTCATAGTAAATTTCATATGATGAAAATTTAGTATTACTATGTGGTACATCTTTTCCAGAATAAATCTTCCTTAAGTAAATTAATGGTATAACATTGGGTTAATTGTAGTGTGTAACTAGGTTACCTCTTTACTTTATAAAAATTAGATGCATCATAATAAAAAAAAATTGTATGACAAGGGCACGGACCTAGAAGTCCGTGGAGAATTAATCTGTAATATTATAAAAAAAAACATTGGGTTCTAGTTATTTAACTTTATTAAAGGGCTCGTACACAAAACTCCGACGCGATGCGATGCGAATTCGCCACGCAAAAAATCACGATGCGAATTGCTGCGATGCAATTTCGTGCGACAAGCCGTCTCCCAGGGTGACCATTCCTTCGACGACCGTCAACCGTACTAAATGTATTTTAAATTGAAAACTAGGTCGTGACATGGATCGAAAAAAGAAGTGTGCACTTCTGTTAATTCTTAGAGGATACAGCAAGAAGATTTTGGGAAGATAAGTTTTGATTCGTGATGCGAATTAATTCTCAAGTTCTTGCGATGCGTAGAGGGCGCTCGCACATTTTTGCAACGCATTGACACATCGCAGTATTGTGTACGAGCCCTCAAAGTATGTATGTATCAAGTACATTTGATAAAACGGCCACAAACTCTGAATCATCGAAATTACCATTAGATCCCTCAGATATAAATTACCATAATGCTGTCCGTATTTTCCGCAACATGTTTTGTATAATTTCCTTTGCCCTTCGAAGATATTAGAATATGTCCAATTTTACCGAATTTTTGTTGCGTCTCTAAATATTTGTACGTTTTATTAAACTATGTTATTACTCGATTGGGACTCAATAACAATAAGTAGGAATATTAAAGTATATTACTATGTGTACTAATATTATTTTATTTAATTTATAAAAGGGTTACTGAAGGAAAAGTGTGAGAGAGCCATGCTTCGGCACGAATGGGCCGGTTCGACCGGAGTAATACCACGGCCTCACAAAAAACTGACTTGAAACAACGCTAGCGTTGTGTTTCGTCGTGTGAGTGAGGTTAGAGAAGCCCTTATTACCCCCAACCTCCAAGTCCCTCAATCTCCAAAATTCCTCAAATTCCTAATCCTCAAAAGGCTGGTAAAGCATTTGTAACGCCTCTGGTGTTTCAGATGTTCATGGGCGACGCCGATTGCTTACCAGCGCGCGATTCATCTATTCGTTTACCGGCTTAGCCCAAAATAAAAGTTTGGTTTATTAGTTTGATTAAGCATGAAATATTAATTTTGTACCCGGCATGATAGATATTATCTCGTTCCATTTTTTCCAAGATCTTTCTTCATTAGTTATATACTATTCTGGAAGAGTTAGGAAAAGAGTTTTCAGTAGGTAGTATTCAAGGGAAGTACATAATATACATATAAGCAAATTAGTCAATTTTTTACCTTCATACTAAAACATCATCATAACA